AGGCTTGTTTGAAAGAGTGCTTCTTATTTGCCTTTCAGACTATTAGAGTCATATTTGATTCCACACAATTTCTCTGCACAGTCCTACCTCTCTTGGGTTCTTGTTTGTGGTTCTTAACCTGAGAAGGTGCCTGAGACTACCAGAAAGGCACCAAGATCTAAAAGTGCTGGCAGAGGAAGCCGCCTTCTGAGAGGCCACTGTTCCCAGAATAACCTTTGGGCAGTCCAAGCCTGCTCTCAGGTCAACTTGTTCAAACTAGTTAGTACATCTAACCTTGCTGCTCACAAACATTTACTACAGGCCTATAATGTGCAAGGCAGGGCACTAAGTGCCCTGGAGAGATCCAGGCAGGTTAAGAGCACGGGCTTCTGCAAACCTAAGAGGGAGTCCTGGCTCTCCTCCTCACAGGCTATGACAGCTTGGCATGTTGATTAACCTCATGGAGACCCCATTTCCTCATTTGCAAAGGGAACATAACTGGTTCCTGTCTCACAAGACCTAGTCATAGATCTGGGAGGCACGTAGCACAGCACCGGTTACCAAGTAAGTGCTCAGTAAGTAGCTGAAGCTACAACGCCAGTACCAGCAGGTGGCACACACTGGATGTGTCACCAGCAAAGCCTTGGGCATCATGGGTACTCCACAGTGCCTGAAATGTCCCACCTTGCATAACACCTCCAAGCTTCAGGTCGTCATCAGAAGGCCAGTGAGACGCAGCAGCTTCTCAGGAACCAACCTCCCAGTCTGCCCAGACTCCACTTTCCCGCGGGTGCAGGTGCCCACACCCTGCTCAGGACCAGGACTCTCCCCTGTGCAGAATGAAGACTTTGTATGGCATCTGGTTCTGGGAACACTGCTTAGTCTATTCCTTGGCACAGGACCTGCAGGGCAGGTTTGCAAAAGTGTGACACACATTCCGACTCACAGAGCACCGACTGCTTCTGCCTTTCGCTCCGGCCATTCACCGACCAGACACCCCCACCCTCCTCCAGCCAGCCTTGGTGTGGAGGGGGCCTCACCACATCCTTTCCCCACAAGTCACTTCAAAGACATGACTTCCTAAGATATTTTCACTTGCCCTTTTCATTTGTTGGCAATGAAAATGACTTCCTTCCTGGAAGAATAACCAAGAGTCACACACAGTCATCGTGGCTGCCCTGCTCCCTCCACGCCTATCCCCGATCACCCACATGCTGGACCTCTGGGGACTCTCCAGGGAGCCCGCCCTCTGCATCTGGACCAGAAGGACCCAGGACACAGAAGGCAGGACAGTTTCTCTTCCACATGTCACCACAGTAGGATGCAGACACTGCCATGAACGTATGTCACTTGGATTGAGCAAGAACAGCCTGTCCCCACCCTGGACCATTTCCCTAATAGTCAGACCAGACCAAAGAGTTAAACTCTAGAGCAGGCGTCCCCAAACTTTTTACACAGGGGGCCAGTTCACTGTCCCTCAGACTGTTGGAGGGCCGACACATACTGTGCTCCTGTCACTGACCACCAATGAAAGAGGTGCCCCTTCCTGAAGTGTGGCGGGGGGCCGGATAAATGGCCTCAGGGGGCCATAGTTTGGGGACGCCTGCTCTAGAGTCCTTGGGAACTGACTCTGTCTCCTGCTATGCAGCTTCTCCCTGGCTTTGGCCTCCACTTTGCTGATTGTTTCCCCGGAACCTGGTTACAGGTGACCTATGTCCTTTATCGGAGTGGGCAAGGTGTGCCTACCTTTGCCTTCTTGGCTGCTAAGCTGCTTTACAGCCGGACTTTCTGTGGGGTAGTGTGGTCCCCAGGATTCTGGGAAGCTGGGTGAGCAAAATGAGGAGGCTGCAGATATGGAGGAAGAGGGAAGAGGAAATGCGAGGCCCAGTCTTGGCTCCACTATGAACCCCAATTCCCCTGGAGGAAGCTGAAGAAGAGTTGGCAGACCTTCCTGTCCCTGTCTGAGGTAGGGGTGGGGCAGGAAAACCAAAGGTGAGGCCAGTCACAAGTCAAGGGTGAAGGAAAGTCCCAGGAGTGGTGGGCTGGGTCCCAGGACAGCGTGGGTGGGGGCAGTGCTACTCGGGGGAAAAAATGGGAATTAGCTGGTAACACCAGGGAGCAAGCTGGGGTATTGGGGGCTGTGCTCAGAATTAAGCCACCCCTATTTTACCTTGAGCATTAAGCCTCCCCCAACCTCATCGTCCCCTCATCACTGCTATGACCTCTGCTGGGTTTGAAGTGATAATCACTAGGATGATGAATGTTCCATTTGTCCCTGGACAGTTTGGGTTTATGTCCATTGTCCTGGTATAACCATGCATGGCATCCCTTTTCACTCTCGAAAGCATCTCAGTTTGCAAGATACATTATACAGGGACTCTTTCTCGCATATCCAGGAGGGCACTGACACAGGAAGAGGTGAGGGACAAATCAGAGAGAAGCAGAACAAGAAGCAAGGCTTGGTGGCCTAGAGTGACAGCCAGGCTGGCTTTAGGCCAGTTGGATCCTCTCGGAACTGTACAATACTGGAGGGAGAGCCTGAGAACTGCTGCCCACCCTGGGGCTCAAATTGTCTTGGAGTCAGGGGCTAGTTTGGTGAGTTCTGCTTCCTGCCATCCCTCAGAGGGCCTGGAGTCATGCTGAGTGCACAAGAGACTCCTAATCAGATCTGGTCAATTCTTTACTTCCCTCTGCCTGCATCCAAAACAGAACTGCAGCAGGGATACATGAAAGCTGGAGCCCTGTAATTCCTTATTCAGCCACACACGAAATGTCATCCAGGTGGTCCTCCTGTCTCTGGCTCTCTGGCTTCTAGGACCTGACTGCTGCACAGGCAACAGCGAGTTTCTAACAGAGGTTCCAGATGCCCACCCCACCCAGGACAGAATGAAACAACTGGAAACTCCCTTTCCTGTCTTAGATAACCACCTGATGTAGTAACCACCTGATGTAGCCCACTTGGCCCCAGGCCTTTCTCCATTGACAGCCTGGGCTTTGGACACCTGCTGTCTGTTCTAGGCGTAGAGTGTAGGGGTCCAGAAGGTCTTCTTGGAGCCTCCTCTGGGGCTTAGTTACAAAAGAGATCAGGTCCAAGGTCAAATAGGGGAAGAAGACTTAGAAACCATAAACACAAATTATCAGGGCATCCCAAACAGTACCCGACATTCCAAAACGTTTATACAAAGGTCTTTGGCCTCTGCTGAAGAGGAGCAAAGTGTTGGGGAAGCTTTCTAACTATCATTTTTTCCCCTCCTTTCTTACTCCATTTTCTAGTTCCTTCTTTAGCTTGGTAAGGGTCCAAGTCACAGCTGATCAGGACCAGCCAAACCCAAAGCCATGGGATCCAGCCAGAGCACAGACTGTGAATTCCCCAGCTTTTTGCAGTTTGAGTCAACCCCACGGCCTGGTTGGCCTTGCAGGACTCTTCTCAAATAGGTCCAGAGATGTTAGTGAGTGGGGGCCATGAACTCTGCAGGGAGGGTGACTTCTGCTCAAGGATCTCTGGCACCCAAAACAAAAGCCAGGGAGAAATGCACAGTCTTACCACCTCCTGGGCTGGCTGCATGCCAGCCCTGAAACTGTTTCAGAAAGACCCACGGTTCCCTCCAGCACTTGGACAGTGAAAGGATGGCAGAAGTCCTCTCAACACACAACACTCTCAGTTCACAGAATTGAGGCTCCAGTGTTCAGATAACCCATTTGTACCTCAGCAAACCAGCCCACTCCCTAGCCTGGGTTAAAACCTTCTTTGCCAACACCATCACCTCTCTGGTCCCAGACTTTCCCAATTTCTTCTGCACATCCACTTCACTAGCAGAGATGGGCCCCTAACAAGACCACGAGGCAGAAATGGAATGAAAGGCTGGAAAAGCCTGCAGTGCTGAGATCCTAGGAGAAAGATGAGATGTGGATTTATCACAAAGCCACTATCCCTTCACAGTCACCTTCTGCTGGAATCATCCCATTGCCATTCCATAATCACTGCTGTGTTGGGGTCTGAGCCCTTGCCATGAGGAAGACCACCTTCCAGCAGGGAACTGGAGCAGAGCCGAACTCTGCCCAGGAGAGCTTCTGCAATGCTCAGAAAATGCCTGCCCAATTGCTTGCCTGGGCTCTGGCCCCTTTGGCTGCAACTGAACCCAGACAGGAGGCTGACTCACTCACCGCACGCATAGAGGAGGAGGAGGAGGAACAGAAGGAGGAGGACGAGCTGAGAGAAGGGCCTGGGCTGGGAGACCCAAGGCTCCCCCAGCCCAGGCTGGGTCTCCAACTCTGGTCCCTGGGTGAAGAGAAGGAGGGGCAGTTGTCCCCTGGCCCTGGAGACCACAGGCTGTTCCTGCCTAGATACTTCTGAATCTTCCTCACCACCACCTACAGAAACAGGGCAGGCACCTCGCTTTCCAAACAGAAACCACTCCTTGAGCCCCTTCCTCATTTAAATGCTTGCCACCTGAGTTCCTCTGAACATCTATTGACAGGCTGTCCTGGAAAAACAGGGCCATTTAGGTAATCATTGGTAGTTCAAAGAAAAATCAAGAAAAAAAATTACTTAAAAGGCCCAACTCCACCATCGCAGGTGACCATACCTGGGCCCTGTAAGATAAATAAGGCTACCCACCCTCCACTCCCGCAGCCCTGAGCACCATCGACAGCTAATCACTCCTTTTCTTATCCCTTCACTCCATGCCAAGGCGCCCCAACAGAGGAAGGAAACAAATGCTTCTTGTTGCCCAAGTGCTGAGCCCGGTGCTAGCGGAGCATTTCTCCTTTAAGCTGCCTAAGCACTGAGGATGTCGCCGCTCTCCTCCCCAGCCTGGCACGAACTTCGGCTTTCTCAAACCTCAGTGCCCGCTTAGTGTCCCAGCCTCATGGCACAACAGCCGGGATCTCAGTCGCCAAGTTTACCGCTGAGACTTGGACTCTAATGCTCTCACCCGGGTACTCAGGCCCTGGTACCCCCGACGCCCCGACCTCGAGTCCCTGTCCTGAGACCCCCCTCCGTGCTGCTCCCGGGTCCGCACCTGGTCCCGCTGGCGGGTGGACAAGCTGTTCCGCGCTCCCGGCGCCCACGGCTCGGCAGCCGCCTTTTGACAAGCAGAGACAGCCCAGCACCTGGCCCCGCCCCTCGAGCAGGCCCCGCCCCGGCCCCGCCCCGGCCCCGGCCCCGCCCACAGGTCCAGTCCTCTCTTGCCTGCAACTATCTTGACTTGGAGTCATCCACCCCGCTGTCGCCTTAGAGACTCTGCCTCGTGAAACTTTCATCGACCGTCGTCCATAGGGCAAGGCTCGCTTCTGCCCTCTGTGGGACACAGTTGTCGGTGAATATAAAGGTGCAGATCCCCGCTTCGGCCTGCGTTAATCGCGGACGCAGCCCCGCCACCCTTCCTGCCGTGGTATCACCCAGCCTGCTGCGGACGCCTGGGCCAGGTGCGTCACCCCTACCTGGGCTGACCCGGCCAGTACCTCGTCGCCAGCTGGACGCTGGGGGTGGGGGGGCGCCTGCCGACGGGCACCGGCGGCTCGCTCCGCACGGGTGGGAAATCCCGGGCGCCGCTCGCCATCGTGTTACTGCTGCAGAAAGCCAGGAAGCTCAGCTTGATCCCGCAGATGAGGGTAAAAGATCCAAGGGGGCCGAAGTGGAAACTGGAGTTGCATCATCGCTCCCACCGATGTCACCTTAGCAGCGACCGCGGCTGACCACCTTCCCGGCCTGTCGCGAATTTCACCCAAGGGAGCTGAGTCTTAGCTTCCCTGCTCCCTAGTCCCCAGTTCTCCCTTCCCTGCGTGGCATCGGCCTGAAGGGGAGAGATTAAGAATACATCCTGTGACGTGGAATTGTGGATGGCTGCAGAAAATACACCACAGAAAATTTTGGCTAAAATCACTCTCTGCTTCCCTTGACTATGTGCTAGGCACCGCTCTAGGTGCCAGAGGAGAGGTGAAAAAGACGGGGTTCCCTCCTTCTTAGAACTCACTCTGCAGTGGGAGAATGTGTAAATAAGTAGTAATTACAACGTAATCTTCTGGAATAGAAATGCCCACAAAATCATCCAGCAGTTGATGATTAGCCAGAGAAGATACCGTTCTTCCCCTCTTACAGAGGAGGAAACCATGGCTCAGAGGGACAAGGTGAAAGGATAGGAAATTGAGGCATAGAAAGATTAAGTGATTTTCCCAACGTGACTCAGCTAATCAGTGAAGGACTAGAGCTAGAGCCCAGCAAGTCTGCTGGTGCAATGGTCTCTGAACCATTTCTGAAACAGCTATGCTGGGCTGCATCCTAACCAGCCCCTCACAACTCAATAATACGGTAAAAAAAAAAAAAAAAAAAAAAAAAAAAAAAAAAAAAAAACTGAGATTAAACAGAAGGAAGAACCTTCCAACAGGGAAGTTTGTTAAGCACAGAAATAGTTCATTATGGAGGTATCATGGAAACTTTCTGAGAAGACTCAAACAAAAGAGAGAAGAGAGGTACATCGTTTGATTGAATTTGGGAATGGACCATTTATTCTGAGAAACAGATGCAGTGCTCCTTCAGAGGTCCTACCAGTCTAATGGATGGATTCTCTACCTGTAATGAAGTAATAGAAAGAATCCCCTTGCCCCAAGCATCATGGGAAAGCTAGCGGTGATTCTCATGGGAAGAAAAGCGTAAGAGGAAATTTCCAACTGCCAATACCTTGGGACAGTCTCTGGAAGTCCTGTGAGCCTCTGGAAGAGGCTGAGCACTCAAAAGTCACTTTTGTGGGAGATCCAAGATGGCTGATCACTAGCAGCTTGGGATTGTAGGTCCCAGCGAAAGCACAGGGAAGGAGAGGACGCCATACCTTCACATGAATTCTTGTTGCTCACGCACCAGGAGATTCCCAGCGGAGGAGCCCCACGGGCCGCCAGCGCGACTCTTGTGACCGGCGAGGCGGTTTTGCTGGCGCCTCGGAGCGTCGATTCTTGGTGCAGAGTCAGAAAAGCACCATCAATCTTAATGCCGCTAATTTAGTCGGGGCAGTGGGTTGCTCAGATTTCGGCGCTGAGAATCAGTAAGTTGGACGTCCACTCAGAAACCCAATTACAAAGACGGTAATTATAAAGACCACAGTTGGATAATCTACAACGAAGGGAAGAAAACAGCCCAAAAAAAAGGCTGAGAATACCCAAGACCAAAACGCCTCTCCCTCAGCAGGGGAACCCAGTTCCTCATCAGCAACGGAACAAGGCCTGATGGAGAACGAGTGTGTTCCAATTACAGAAGCAGGCTTCAAAAGGTGGATAATGAGAAACTTCTGTGAATTAAAAGAACTTGTTCTAACACAATCCAAAGAAACTAAGAACTTTGAAAAAAGATTTGATGAAATGTTAACAAGAATACACAATTTAGAGAGGAATATAAGTGAATTGATGGAGCTGAAAAACACAATACTTCGTGAAGTATGCACAAGTTTTAACAGCCGAATTGATCAAGCAGAAGAAACGATATCAGAGGTCGAAGACCAACTCAATGAAATAAAACAAGAAGACAAGATTAGAGAAAAAAGGATAAAAAGGAACGAGCAAAGTCTCCAAGAAATATGGGACTAGGTGAAAAGACCTAATCTACGCTTGATAGGTGTACCTGAATGTGACGAAGAGAATGAATCCAAGCTGGAAAATACGCTTCAGGACATTATTCAGGAAAATTTTCCCAACTTAGTAAGGCAGGATAATATTCAACTCCAGGTAATACAGAGAACACCACAGAGATATTCCTCAAGAAGAGCAACTCCAAGACACATAATCGTCAGATTCACCAGGGTTGAAATGAAGGAGAAAATACTAAGGGCAGCCAGAGAGAAAGGTCAGGTTACCCACAAAGGGAAGCCTATCAGACTCACAGCAGATCTCTCAGCAGAAACCCTACAAGCCAGAAGAGAGTGGGGACCAATATTCAATATCCTTAAAGAAAAGAACTTTCAACCCAGAATTTCACATCCAGCCAAGCTAAGCTTCACAAGTGAAGGAAAAATAAAGTTTTTTTGTGAACAAGCAAGCACTCAGAGATTTCATCACCACCAGGCCTGCTTTACAAGAGCTTCTGAAAGAACCACTACACATAGAAAGGAACAAACAGTATCAGCCTTTCTAAAAAAATACCAAAAAGAGCATTAATATAATGAAGAATTTACATCAACTAATGGGCAAAATAGCCAGCTAATATTAAATGGCAGTATTAAACTCACATATATTATTATTAATTCTAAATTTAAGTTGACTAAATCCCCCAATCCAAAGACAGGCAATTTGAATAAAAAACTAAAACCCATCAGTATGCTGCATCCAGATCCATCTCACATTCAAGGATACACAAAGACTCAAAACAAGGGATGGAGAAAGATTTACCAACCAAACAGAGAGCTAAAATAAATAAATAAATAAAAAACAAGTTACAATTAAGCAACAAAGATCAAAAGAAGCAAAGAAGGACATTATATAATGATAAAAGGATCAATGCAACAACAAGAAGAGCTAAAGATCCTGAATATATACGCACCCGATACAGAAATACACGTAGATCAGTACCACATCATATCAACTTAGAAGTTTAAACGAAATGTTGGTTGGCTCCTTGTCTGTTATTCTCTTCCCTCATTTTTTTAAATATCTCCATTATTAAGGACAATTTTAGGCATACCCATATTTAGATTGCATTCTAGCCCGGGCAATAAAGCAATACCCCCATCCTCTCTCCCTCTTCCTCTTTCTCTTTCTTCCTCTTCTTTATTCTTTTTCAACAACAACAACAAAAAAAAGTCACTTTTGTGGTGCTTGATTGGCCTGACATCTTGCAAACAAACCTTATCAAAAGATGGTGGAAGATGCATACTAAGTATTCCATAGTAATCTACTGTTAGTCTTTTTTCACAGCTCTTTGTTGGAGGAGAGGTATTTGTAATTCACATGTGTAAACTGCTTTATAGTATAAAAAGAATTCCTTGGAATATCTTACTTGATCTTCATCACAGCCTTTTCAGACAGGCAGAGTAGAAAATACTGTCTCCATTGTACAACTGATGTGCAGAGTTGTCAAGGTTTTTACAGTTGAGGAGTGTCAGAAATATTGGACCCAGGTCTTCTCTCTGCACATCCCACTATTCCATGCTGCCTCTCAATAAAAGAAAAAGAAAGAAAGACAAAAAAGTTCCATGCACTTTTCACAGAGTTGGAGAACTCAGAGGTTCTGTGTTTGGCAAACTGGCAAGATTAGAGATGTCATCACAGTTCCCAGTACATGCTGTTATCAGCCCCATCACCTTGTCCCTAACCAAGTTCTTCTCATCTTCCCCCAATTCCTGAACTGTTTTCTCTCATCTGCTTCTCCAGATCCTCTCCTGTTTCAGGTCCTGCCTATTCCATCAGGCTTTTCCAACATCTCCCGGCTGAAAGGAGATGCCAGTTCTCTGGTCTTTGTAGCAGGCATTGTCTGAATTGCATGGTTTGGCATCCGATAATGAACCATCATGTATTTACATTGAACAAAGATAGATTTTTTTTTACCTGCTTTATTCTCAGAAGGAAGGTTATTTTGTGAAAGTAGAAAAGCAAGATAATATGAGAGTCACTTCTCCTGTGCTCTGTTGTAATCCCTAATTGTCTCTGGACCCGGCTTCTCCCTAGCCAGGTATACAACCAGAAAGGGAGGTTGCTGGGTTGCTGTCTCACACCTGTTCTCTAGATGCCTTGATGACAAGCACTGTTCCTGCACTACAGAGCTAATAATTGTGAACTCCTCTATCTTGACTTCTCTATAAACCATGTACCAGAACCACTGCAGAAAACATTAATTTTTCTTTTCCCTGAAGGTAACATTTCTCATGTTCTCATTTATCCCTGAGATGGGTAGTGGTCTTTATTGGGATGTACAGATTGTTTTTGGTCAGTACTCATCTCTGCCAAATTACATCAGGGAACATCTACTAAGCACTTGCTTAGTTAATATTAACCAAGTATGATGGTGTGCTAGATACCCCGCTATAGTGCTATAGACTCAACAATCTGTATGGAAACAAAAGAGCCCTTCCAGGTGCATCTGACTTTGATGGAAAGATTCCAGAGTTGCTAGGCT